CTCAGCCCTTGACTCATGGCAACCCCAAGCACAGCTGAACGAAACACTGTCTGGTCCTGCAGCATCCCCATGATCGGTTGCAGCTCTGACCATTGTGATCCATAGGGTTTTCATTGGCTTGAACACTCTTCCTTCAGACAGCCACAAGGCTCACTTCTTCACCGTCTTCAGGTCACCTTCTCAGTGGGCCTACCCTGCTGAGCACTCTATTTAAAACTTAAAAAGCTGCCCCACAGCATTCTCGATCCCCCTTGCTGTACTCTATTTCTTTTCTCCATAGCATTTCTCCTTCCAACATCTTATGTAAATTCACTTATCCACTTATCCATCATATTTATGGTTTATCTTCCATCACTAGGATTCAGATTTCACAAGGCCAATGATTTTGTTTCTGATGTGTTTTACTTTTGTACCCCTGGCAGCTAGAACTATGCCTAGTGTTATTTGTAGTAGTAGTAATAGTGGTTTTAGCTTATTGTAACGGCCCTTCCTTTCCTTCAAGGTACAATTCAGGTTCAATATTTGTTATATGAACGAATGAATTGCTAACGCTCACTGAGCACTTACGTGCTGTGCACTATTCTAAGTGCTTTACAGTTTCCCTTGCCTGTTGGTGATGGTGGTGGTGGTGGTGTGTGTGTATGGAGCATGTATGTGCTCATTTAAGTCAGTCCTGCACATTCCTTTCCTCTTCTGTATTTCCCCATCCCACCTCTTCTCTTCACGTTGCTCTTCACCTTCTTTTTAACCTTTTTACTTTGTTTATCTGCTGGAAATTTCAAAATAACCTTTTATTTTCCTATTTCTTTTATTAGGTACCCCTAGGTTATTACTTCTACATTGGCACCCCCTCCCCAACCCTTTCTGCTTGCTGCATACACACACATATACTACCAGCACCAAGAGGCAACCCAGTTGCCATTGAGTCGACTCTGACTCATAGAGAGTGACCCTATAGGACAGATTAGAACTGCCCCGTAGGGTTTCCAAGGCCGTAAATCTTACAGAAGCAGACTGCCACATCTTTCTCCCATGGAACGGCTGGTGGGTTAGAATTGCCAACCTTTCAGTTAGCAGCCAAGTGCTTAACTACTGTACCACCAGGGCTCCTTACCAAGAGGCAAGGGAAATTGTATTTCTTACCAGACAGAGAAGTCTTAAAATCTTAGCTTTATGTTCTGGATGATTTCCTGGAGAGCCCTAAATCATGAATTTAGTCTTAAACCAGTAAGAACAATTTCATATTACACCTCTCCTCACTTATCAACTCTCTCAGTATCCAACATTTTGTATTTACAGCAATAGTAAAAAATCTACTATCTGACTATTTTGCACCTTAACATCGTACATCTGGCAGGAACGAATGCTGAGGTGTGAGGCAAGAGTAACATTGGCTGTGATGGTTAAGGTTATATGTCAACTTGACTGGGCCAGGATTCTTAGGGGTTTGGCAGTTATGTAATGATGTACTTTGACAGTTATATAAGGATGTAATTTGGCAGTTATGTAATGATGTAGTCATCCTCCATTTTGTGATCTGATACGGTCATCCTCCATTTTCACATAACACCAATTTTCACATAACAACCTGGTCTTTGGAACCTAACCATGTCTATAAGTGAGAAGTGGGTATAATTTAGGTTTGTCTTAGTTCAAATGAAATAGTCAGGGTCTGGAGTCCCTAATGAAGGTTTGTTTTATTGTTCTTTTGAAGTTAATAAGAAATTAGAAGAAAAGGAAACTGAGAAAAAAGAAGAAGCTTCCCTGGCTGAGGCTTCACCTCCTACTCCTCCACCTCCTCCTCCTCCCGAGCCAGAAAAAGAGAAAGACATTTCTCCTCAAGGAGAGGCTTCAAAAACTCATCCTGCAAAAGGAAAACCACAATCAGGTGATTGACAGAATGATTTATAATCCTGTTC